TAAACAAATTTTTTTTATCTCAAAATTAATTTTCGAACTCAAAATATTACAATATTACAAAATATAACGATTGCTTGATCTTACCCTTGGGTTGTTATAGCTCTTGGTTGTAAAGTACTCCTTCTGGGAGCCGTATATATTCTCTCTCTGAGTTAATACAAGATTATTCCTTCCCCTCTAAAATATACATTGGGCATGCACCTACGATGGTTGTGGATACGGAGGAATCAAGTCACTCCTACATTATTTTAATGATTTTATAGCTATTGCTTGTTTTTTGAAAAGTTTAATGTTAGAAGATTTGTAAATTTCAACATTTTTTTTTTATATTTTTATATTTTAATAGAGAGTTAAGTTAAATATGAATTTCGAATGTTATAATTAATATATATATTTTTTTTATTTTTTTAAAATAATTCATGTATTAAATTTAAATGTGTTTCTTGAATTTTTATAGGTGGTTTATGTATTAGAGTTAATATATGTTTTTTTTTTTTGAGTTTTTTAAAGTAGTTTTATATATTAAATTTAAATATAGTTCATGAACTAAATTTTTAATTATTGTTTTATTAATTTTGAATATATACACTCATACACTTAAAAATTTATAAATATAAGATCACAAATTTAAAAATTGATTTTTCTTCCTTCTATTTCTAATAAAATGTTATCTAAAGTTTTTTATTTTGTTGTTATAGATAGATTTTTAGGAACCCTAATGGACTATTATGAAATGAATTGCTAATAATTAATATTGTATATTTATTTACCGAATATACACACACATATATATATATATATATACTCAATACTATAAAGATTAAATATAAGACAAAAAAAGTATAGTTTATACAAATCTTTTTATTTTGTGATTCAATCTAATCCTTAGTTCATAGAATTATTTATTTAATTGCAATATTTCTAAAACACCTCTAACATTGAAGTTATCCCAACTTATTTACTATTTAAATTTTTAGTATAAGATTCTTAATTCTATACTATAAATATTAATTTTAGTATAAGATATACTTTTTTATTTGCTTCTCTTTAACATTTTTAACCCAAAAATGAGACTATACGATGCATCAAACAATTTTAATTTTAATGAATTATACATAATATATATATATATATATATATATATATACTCTAATATCTCTATACATATAGGTCCAGTCAATTGTAAACTTCAAACTAAAGTGCAGGTACATGCGCATAGAGTAGTGCATGCAAAATTACAGTCAAAGCATGACCAATCCTCATTACATACCAATTAGTATAAGAAATTGATGACCACTAATATACCAAAAAACATATTTAATATACTTGTAAAATGTAGTGTTCAATACATATATATAAACCTTCTAATTTATTTGTCTGCGATTCTGTGTAAGTAGCTTGTGGTTTTAGAGCAATCATCCTCTTATACATACATATATATATATATATATATGTCACTTACCTTCCAGCTTTCCAGGCCGACAGAAATTACCAACTATTATATATATATATATATATACGCACTAAAAAAGTTAAGGTGACGCTAGATATAAGCAGGCTTACCTTCTACCAGGCACCAGATACATATATATATTTACATATATATATTACACTCGCATGCATGCAGCAGATACACGTTCCTTTATTGGCATATATATATATATATATATATATATATATCTTAAATGAATGTGAACTATATTGTCAAATGACACCCGGAGTTCCCCCAAACACTTCAGCGAGATTGATATATATATATATATATATCTCCGGTGAAGTGCTCAGGGGAACTCTAGGGGACACCTGACCTGATCATGGCTCCTGCTTGTGTTAATATTGCATGGCAGTGTGGCAGGTATTTATAAAGAGAAGGAGAAAAGGTAGCAATGCATTTGGCTTCTTATTTGGTATTTGTTCAGTTGATACCGAGAGTTTTGTTTGGTCTAAAGCTGTCAAGTTTTGAACTTAGACGCACCTACAAGATAGATGCATCTGCACATACATATATATATATATATATATATATATATATATACACACACTTATATATAATCATAATAGACAGAATAAATTGCATGGTGATTGAATATGGGACTGTACATGTGGACACTATCCTTTCCTCCGTACCTTTTCCACTAAATCTCCCTCAATATTCTCCTTTCACTTTCACTTCTCTTAAGAATCTCATATACATATACTTATACAAATATATATATGTATATACATATACACAGCTCATAAATAAAAAGTAACAAGTTTTATATATACGTATATTATCGTCAAATGAAAAATTAATGCTTTTTCCAGACCCATGTTTAATTTTACACACAATATGTATAGTTGATAAAGAACTAGCTATAATTAGTAGTTCAGTTCTTTACTTGACGTTAAGATATGTTCTTCTTCTACCTCTGTCAATCTGTAAGTAATTTAAACACACTACGAACAGAGGACTTGAATTTATATATATATATATATATATATAATAGTCATTCTGGCCTATGTAAAAGTAGATATATTGAAAAGGGAAGGATATGTATATATATATATATATATATATATATATATGGACCACAATAAGCAATTTGAGGTAAACCGGTGTTTGTTCTGTTCTGTTCTATATTCTCAAATTCCATCCCACTTCCTTGAAGTCTGGCCAGGTTCATAAATTCTCAAGGCCTAATTAAGCTGTATATAATTACGTATAGGTAGCAAAGTATCTATGGCAATAATCAAGGTGAAAAAGGGGAGAAGATGAGTCAGGTCAGTTGTCCCCTAGAGTTCCTCTAATCACTTCATTGGGAGTCTCCAATTACTAAATCCACTGAAGTGTTTGGGGGAACACTGGGTGTCACTTGACAAATGCATGTAACATTCATTCATAGATCAACAATATATTATATTATATTATATGTGTGTATTACCATGAAAATAATAGATTTAGTATTTTTCTATCAATTTAATTTTTTTTTTTAAAAACAATCAATTTGGTTTAATTTTTTATTATCTATTATTATATTTTAAATTCTGTAAAATTTATTATTTATTATCTAATTTGTATTTCTATATTCATTTTTGGATTTTTATATCTCATTTGGGTTTAAAATATATATATATATATGAAAAGGTGTATTACATATAAACAATTGATTTTATTTCAATTTTAAGTTCCTTAAAATTTATAAATCAATTGATTTATATTTATCTATTGTTGTTCTTTATATATTTAGACTTAAATATAATAATGTGAAACAAGATGCTCGTAAATTCACAATATTAATTTATAGATGATCCACTTAAATTCGATTGATAATAATGCGAGATTAGTCGGACGACTAATTAGATATTTTAAATTTGAAATAAAGTTCTTTGTTCATTGATTTTTAAATTACTATAATTAACCTCATAATTATTCATTTTAGATATACTTAATGGATATCTAAATGGAGGGTTCTTAATAATAATTATCTTTAAATACATAAATAAATAATGATGATATTTCAATCTTAGTATTTCTATACATTTTTTTTTTAAATGACACTATTTCCTCATATACAATAGTAATAGTACCAGATATTTTAACTAAATATCAATGTTTAACCCAATATTTAACTATTATCAATACATTAATATGTTTTGGTTAAACAGTAATCTTGGGTTAATAAATATTAATACTGAGATTATGTTTTATATCATTTTTATGAACTTTATTATTGTAAAGTTATATATTAAAGATTTTATTAAATGATTGATTTAAAAACAGTAAGAACAGAGGAATTCATTATAATAATTGACGTGTTATGCATCGAATTAAAATTTGAGTTAAAAATCAAGAACAATTTTTACAATTAAGCAAGCATATTAATAAATTAAATAAGTATGTAATTAATTTTTTTTTTAAAAAATATGATAATAATGATGTATAAGAAAATTTTATTTATTTTAATAGATAAAATAATTAATTGAATGATTAATTTAAAAACAATAACAATCAAGGAATTAATTATAATAATTGAAGTGTTATGCGTCAAATTAAAATTTACGATTAAACCTAAATTAAAAAAAAATTGGCTTATTTGAAGGGCTTGGGCTCAATTAACCACTCTGTTACTGAAAAAGAAGACCGACCCAAAATCCGAACCGACTTTTGTGCACGCCCCAAAAATCGTTTCTCCCCCGCGACATTTTTCAAACCCTAAAAAGTCTGGTCTTATCTCTCGCTCGGTCTCTCACAATTAAGAACACAGAAAAAAATCCCAATCAACTTTCTGTCAATCATCCATTTCGGGTAATTTCTTCCATTTCTGTTATCATTTCTTCTTAATTTCACGTTTCTCTTATGTAATCGTACTTCGCATTTCGGTATTCTTCTTCCCGTTCAATTAAATCTTATTACGTTTTTCGGATCACTTATTGCATATTTAGGGTTCTGCCAAGAGGAAACATCAGTAGCAAGCAACCATGGCGTCTCTAGATCCTGAGATCGCCAAAACTCAAGAGGAAAGGAAACGAATGGAGCAAGAGCTGGCGTCGCTCACATCACTCACATACGATCGCGACCTCTACGGCGGCACTGACCGCGACGCTTATGTGAGCTCCATCCCTGTAAATGACGATGAAGATGCCAATCTTGACGGGATGGACTCAGAAGTCGCGAGAAAGCTTGCCTCCTACACTGCCCCCAAGTCACTGCTCAAGGAGATGCCTCGTGTCGGTGACGATGACTACGACGATAATTC